TTCCGAGACATCAACAGGAGCGTTGCGTGCTGACACTGGTTGCAGAATCAAAAATTGCTTGACGATGAGCTTTACCTCGGCCTTCGACAACCCCGAGCTAGAGGAAAGGAGTATGATCAATTTGTGAATAAATTCGTCAACACTGCTAGGAAACTTTTCCCCAAAGCTTACATTCATTTGTGAGTAGACGTCTCCTCGAGCAATTTGAAAAGCAAGCCAAGCGACTGATGTCCCTTCGCAGTGAAGACTTTGGCCTTCATAATGCCAAAAGACTTCTCGATGAATTTCGACCACACATGGCCTGCTTCAATGATGATATCCAAGGAACCGGGTGTGTCACTCTGGCAGCATTAATGGCTGCTTTGCACGTCAGTGATGTCAAATTGCAGGACGTGCGCATCGTCATCTTTGGTTCCGGTTCTGCTGGAACTGGTATCGCACAGCAAATTGCTGATACAATCGTGACGGAGACCCGTAAATCAAAGGACGAAGCGGCAAAGCAAATCTGGTAAGCCTTGCGGAAAATTGATGCTGTGCCCCTTTGCTACTTGCTGAAACTTTTCCAGGTGTCTGGACAAGCCAGGATTGCTAGTAAAGTCCTTAGGTGACCAATTGACGCCGGCACAGAAGCCTTTTGCGCGCAGCGATGATGAATGGTCTGATGGGGAGAGAGATCTGCTATCTGTAGTGAAAAGAGTCAAGCCCCATGTGCTGATTGGGACATCGACAAAGCCAAACGCTTTCACAGAAGAGATAATCCGAGAAATGGCCAAGCACGTCCACAGTCCAATCGTATTTCCATTGAGTAATCCTACTCGGCTGCATGAGGCACAGCCCAAGGATCTCAACGAGTGGACGGATGGTCGAGCGTTGATAGCGACTGGGAGTCCCTTCCCACCGGTTGATCGCAACGGGGCAAAGTATGAGATTGGTAAGTACAGATTGTCAAAAGTTTGCAGGACATGACATGACTCATTGGAAAACCCTACAGCGGAGTGCAATAATTCAACTTGTTTCCCCGGAATTGGCCTTGGAGCCGTCTTGTCTCGGGCACGCGTCCTGTCAGACAAGATGCTGGTCGCTGCGGCCAAAGCGCTAGCAGCTCGATCACCTGCGCTTCAAGCTCCTAACAAGCCTCTCCTACCCGATGTGGAGGAGGTCAGAGAAATCAGTGTCGATATTGCCAAGGCGGTGATCAAGACGGCAGTGGAAGAAGGGCATGCCCAGGAAGAAGGCATTCCCACCAACGATGACGACCTGGAGGAGTGGATTCGGGTACAGATGTGGGACCCTGTCTACCGTCCTCTCTCGAAGCCCAAGCAGGAGTGAAATCTGCAGCGGAAAATCTAAGATCGGGGCCTTGAATCTTACTGCAGAAATATCTCGATCATTTGGGTAAGGAAGCCAAGAGCTCACTTCAGTCGAGGTGAGCAACAGTAGCCAAACTCCAAATAGATTGCTCTATTTCCGTAGTCTCATGTGCATGTACAGTCTACCTCATTGAACAAGCCTAAAAGACCTGCAAACGTTGCTGTTCCCAATCATCCTTATTCAACACTGTCAAAGCTGTCAAACACTGGCTATGTTCGGACTGAAGAAGCCTTGTGGAAGCCTGACAAGTTCGTGCTCCGGATTCCACTTCAAATGGGCAGATTCATCTGCTCCAATAGCCATTGATTCTCTCAATCGCAAGTTTTGGGTGAGCAACAATGGCTTAAACTATGGAGGCTGAGGCTCATGGAGGGCTGTCTGCTGCGCCTCCTCGTAGGCAAGGATCCTATAGGGCAATGATTCTCTACCGTACCGCACGTGGAGTTGGAAGAGGCCAAATGTGATTTCATGGATAATCAGATATATTTCAATTGATCCGATCTCTGGTTCTTAGCCGAGGAGAGTTTATGGATGATGGATGAATGATGACATGATGGTTCTTTGATCTCTCTGGAAATTGAAGCTGTACGGCGGGAAGGCCCTTGGCATCGCAGATTGTAACCGTGTTAGTCAGTAGTACGGAGTAGAGAACTAATGGACGTTGGGGCTCAGGCTTTCCCGGGGTCGAATCATGAAAGGACAAAGCGAGCATCGCCGCTTTGCTGGGCAAGTTGGGAGATGATGAAAGGTTACCAAGAAATCCAAGAAATCCTTAATAATTAAGCCCGTCCGCAGTCGAAGGTTACATCAGTGGGTTTCCCGTCATGAAACTCTTGTCTTAGGAAAGAACTGCCTCATTTTTGGCAATATTTCTTTTCTTTTCTTGTCACTTTTTATCTCAGACAACATAAATTCCACCTCCGTCAATACTGTGTTTAGCACTCTCACCCTCCATATTGAGACTACAGCAAGTCTATTTGCGCGTCTAAAAACAGTTCTTGCCCTAAAAAAAAGAAACAAGAAGATTACAAGATGAAAATCGCATACACGGCGGTTCTCCTTTTTCTTTTGTCGTCCACTAGTGTCACATCCTACAGTATTCCGCAGTCGGATCTCGTCGCTCGTGATTTAGTCGCTGTCGATTCATTTCGAGCCCCAGATCTCGAGAAACGTCGAGGAGGAGGAGGAGGCGGTGGACGAGGTGGCGGAAGCGGAGGCTCCAGTGGGGGACGCACTGGAAGCGGCGGAAGCGGTAGTTCATCGAGGTGAGCGGTTGTCAAGCTGCCAGTCATCTTCATAGACATCGAGGCTAACATTTGCTCTGCACGAAGTTCCGGTGGGCGTACAGGGGGCTCATCTCGCCCTGGTTCCACCTCTAGTAGCAGTCGCATTGGCGGAACCTACTACGCTGGCGGTGCCACATCTGCATACAGGGCCGGCACGCGATCTCCTCTGGGAGTCACTCCTTTCCTTTTGCCAGTCGCTGCACTGGCCATCTTCCCTGGTATCTGGCTTTACGGAGCCTATGCATACCCCTACAGTCATCGTTACAACTATACAAATGAAACTTCTCGCCACAACGAGTCATTGCCGGTAGTCTGCTTGTGTCAAGAATACTCGGATTGCGGCTGTGACGATAACCATAACAGCACCTACTATCAATCGCTGTTCAATGGCACTCAACCTGCGAACTCAAGTATCGCCAAGGTTGTCAACGCCAACGGAACCGAGACCATCTACATCAACGGGACTGTGCCGAATGCAACGGACTCTACGAGCTCGTCCACTTCCTCAGCCCCCGCTACAGCCCTCCTTGAGGCCAGCGGGTACTGGGTTATGGTCGCTCTGGTGGCTAGCATGGTTTGGGCGCTATGATGGATGTTCCCGCGATGGACTCGTTCATAACCTCGTGCCTTTTGTGCGATGAGCCACTTGCTCGCTATGCTCCATCAATAATATCCCTTGTCGTTTTGCTATTGTGAATTTGCCCCTTTGCTTCTTGCTATATTTCGCTTTAGCCAAATCTGTTCCATGAGCTCTCTGCTCAGCCTTTGCTGGACTTTGATGCGGGAATATTGTCGAGTTCGCTTTGGCCGGCGGTCTTTTGCTTTGAATGGTACGAGAACCTTGATACCCTTATTCGGCGTTGGAAAGTCAAATCCTTGATTCTTGTTTACTTCACTTCGCTGGGCATGATTACGATACCACTTCCTATTGATTATTCCTGAGTACCTTATTGTACGAGATCTCGCTATGAGTCGCTCACTTCTAATACGTGTTATATTATGATCCCAAGTCACAGTTTCCCTAGATGATTTCGGTCTTTCCCACTTTTAAGCTCTGATAAATGCTTCAAACTTTCGATCTTTTTTGCGAACTCGTCAAAGATGAACCCTTCGCAGTTTATCTATCACTTGGTTTCCTCCCAACTTCCTCTCCTCTGTGGATTCTCCAATTCCCCTGAAACCGACTAGGTATTCACCACGAAGAACCGATCTATTCTGTAGACTGGGGCATTGACTGGCTTCTACCTCTTATGGTACTCCAACTTCTCCCCGCTGCTGCGCGATGAAACTGGTGAATGACTGTAAAATGTCAACCCTTGGACTACTCTTTCACGCAGGAATCGTCATTGCTCATTACCTTAGATCGAGTCAATTTCAGCCCACTAGTATTGTCAATGGCTCCCAAACAGCCGCAATTCACGTTCTTCAGTCATCATCGTCTCTTTTGGGTCGGCGCAAGGTCAATTGCGCTATCGCATTAGCCTCCCCTCAGGATAACATGATCGACACGTTTCCCGTGGAACCTGGACTATCTCACGGCTAGCACTGCAAATGACTACGAACCGCAGGACAGAGTTTGGCTCAAGACCTGAAGGCGTACCTCGCATCTCTCTCAATGCCGACAAAGTAGTGGCATCGACAATCATCATCAGCGATTAGAGAAAATAATCGTTTAATATTTTGTCGCCCGCACCGCAAAGCGGGAGCTTCGAAGGGATCGACGGTTCGAAATTATCGTGACGAACCCGAACGTCCCCAACCATGGACGGCTTGACAACATCACGCTAGACTCAAGCGATTTCGAGCCAAGCATACCCCTACGGCAAGAGGTTTCATGGCTGATTCGCTGTTTGTTCGGGTCATATATCGATTCTGGTATCGTTTGGTCGGTTCAAGGACTCAGGTCTCCGGGAGACCTTTCTTCTAGTAGTCTAATGTTTCCTCCGTACTCCGTATAGTCTAGCTAACAATTTAGTGCCAGGTACTGGTCACCCCCCTTTTCTTTGCGCCTTATTATCACCGCTGTCTTCTCTTCTTCGCTTGAGTTACCGCTCACTGCTACAGACTTTGATTGCCTCAAGGCGTTGTCGCTCATTCTTCATATTCTATACACACAAGAGCTGTCACTCGTTTCCAGCTCCATTCATTCTTTACTTCCTACAAGCGAAGGCAAAAAGGTCGAATATTGCAGAATTATCTCCTAAGCTTCCTCGCTTATCCAAAATCGATATACCAGCGCCCAACATCGACCAGCTTACTCCCAAAGCTATTTCTCTTTCAGCATCGCGTTTGAATTGCAGCGCATCTCAAACTTCAGCCTTATCTGTCAATTCTACGTTCAAGATGCATTTCACCAAAGCTCTCCTGTTTACCGCCGCGGCTGTCGCGCCCTTGGCGTCCGCTGCAGCGCAAGCTGAACCGACAACCACCATCACCGTCAAGCTGATGAGCGTTGGCGCTTCTTCGACTCCTACACCGTCCCCCAGCAGCAGCAGCAGCGTCGTCAGCGTGACTCCAAGCAGCAGCAGCCCCTCCATTCGACCCACCGGTGGCATCTATCTCCCCGGCTCCGGCCGCTGGAACTCAACCAGCTCTTCGATCGTCAAGGTGACAGTCCCTGCCACCGTCAGTGGCCCCTCGCAGACAAACGCTGCTGCCTCCGCGGCCTCGTCGGCACCATCCCAGGGCGGCGCCGCTTCCTCGATCAACTTCTCCGGCCCCCTGACTGCTGTTGCCATGGCTCTCGCGGGATTTGCCATGTTGTAAGAGGTAAATCGGAGTCTATCAGACATCCAGCGCATGGATAGCCGCAATTGAAGCGATCTCCTCCGTCTTCGGGCTTTGGGAGAGGCCGTCCATGATCGAACATCAATGTTCGGGAAATGAGGAACTCGGTCATATATTTTCCTACCTATCTTACTTCGCCGGACGATCCTCGTCGCCCATCTTGTCATATATACATTCGCACTCTTCTTCTAATCTGTATCTATTGAACTCGACTCCGTCCGCCACGCACGCATTGCTATAAAAGTTATGATCTGGGCGGGCTGATCTGTCATTCATCACTTCAACTTCACGTCCTCTAATTTATGTCTGCCTATACCCTTGATTTGTCTTTCAAGAAGCTCTGGCCTCTTTCTTGCCTCTTTGCCTCTAAATTTAGTGCTCTTCAATCCTATTCCACTGGATTTCTTCCTGATGATGATAGATGGTACCGATGGTTCTACCACGTCACTTGTTCCTATCGTCTCTTGAAGTATTAAAGTACCCTGTACGGTGCTTACCATGACATAGCGGGCTAAAGTGCTTACATGGGCATACACCCAATGCTATGCTATAAAAGCCAAGTATGGGGATTTCTCTCGAACTTACGCTTGCTGTAGTATACAGAAAGAACAATGGAGGTCGGCCATAGGAAGGAGAGGAATGCAGATTATTATGTTACAATGTACAAGAATATACATCAGCGCTGCAGACGTTCGCAGCATCTTATGAGTCCCTGTAGGTAGCTTCGTACCTGTTCAAGACGGACTGAAGTTAGCAAGTGTTTCGGAGAAGTGGACCAGCCATCACATACCTCTTTCCTCTGAATGCCCACAGACCCCAATTTCCGCAAGAAACATCGTGAGGGTCCAGGTCGTTCAAATCCCAGCGCAGACTACGGAAGATATTCTCGCCGGGCTCAAGGAGTATGTCGAATTCACCAGCGCATTTCTCGCGAACCCAGTTGATATCCCTCTCCATGTCCCACTGTGTGTACCCAGTGGTAATGATGGGGACCTTGGTCTCCAACAGTTGTGGCAGAGTTTCTTCCCACTCATGAGAGCTCGCAGGGTGCCCGAGGCCCGGATGGAAAAGCACAAAGCAGTCCAGATAGGGATCAAACGGCTGGAAATACTGCGCTTTGTACATGGTGTGGAAGTAGTCAACGTACGTTGTGATCTTCAACTGGCCACCGAGTCGATCCTCCACAATGCCCCCAAAGGGATTCTCAGGGGTCCGCTCGGGAAGTGGGAACTCGCCGTCACGGTTGGCCATACTCTCAGGTCCAATGAAAATCAAGTGTATCAAGGACCGCGGGAAAATGTAGCTCAATTGCAGCCAGACGTCACGGGGAAGGGATGATTCCGCCCGCGCACCGAGGATGAATACTCGAACTGGGGGTGCCTTCAGGCGCAGACCTTGGATATCGACGCCCTCTCCTGTCTTTGGAGGGTGCAATGTGTATCGAAGAGCTGGAAAGAAGAACGGTCAACTATTTGTATAATTTGCAGGCAATTAGCTAAGCACGGAGAGGTGCAGCTTACCGCTAACGCTCTTGAGCCCTTCGGTAGTCAGTCGGCCTCCCTTTCGAACGCTGTAAGGACTCAGCTCATGCAGAACACTTCCGATCGTCAACGGGTATGTAAGCATTCTGGTCACTTGTCGCATGCTTCGGTCATGATTGATCGCATCAAATTCCCGTGTGTAAAGGAAAGTGTCCCAATTGGTCATGTTAATAACAAAGTTGTCGTCCTGCAGCCCTGGGTAGGTGAACTCGGGGAAAAAACGCCCCGAATGAAGGTCGTGGTCATCCTCATTGATTTGTCTGATGGTGTCACAGATCTCCAGGTGCGCCTCAAAATCATCCATCCAGTGTTCCTCAGAACAGTAGATGGGAACGCCACAATCGGGGCACTCAAAGTGAGAGTGGGCCGGAGGCAGTACGCCTTCGGGGCTCTTCCGAGATTCAGGATCGTGAGGCGAGAGCGCTGCACGGGTTTGTTGATGACTGGGATGCGGACAAAAAGCATTCTGTTTGATGAACGCCGCACGCTGTCTAATCGCGGGTGCAGGGGATTTCGAGAAAGGGTGAAAGAGGTTGTTTGGTTTCAGCAAAGTTCTTGTCTCCTGCGCCTGGCTCGACGAGGTGGACGAGGCTCTGTGCGTTAGCTGCTTTGCAGTTGGAGACGCAGCAGATGAAGGCGACAAGGATGGGCATGATGTCCGTTTCAATTGCCCCTGGGAGGATTGGGGTGGAAGGCGATTGTTGCTCTGCGAACTAAACCTTCGGGAGAAAGAGGGAGAGTTGCGTGGTCCCGGCAAATTGACTACAGTTTGCAATTGAAACGTAGAACATTGAGTAGAAAGCCTTCGCTGGAGGACCTGCAGGCAGCGTCCGCAAGTATACTCGCCAGGCATGTCGACTGTCGCGGGGCTGAATGGACGGCTGTTGAGTACACATGCGTTGAAGCTGTAATTTCTGGCCGCCGAGAATGCCGTCGTACCACGTGATCCAGATACACCGTCAAGATGTCTTCGCAGGCATGTTCAGTTCGGTCATTGCAACACGCCCCTCAGCTAATATGTTGGAACTTTTGTATGTTGAAAATCTGTTATCCAGATGCTAATGCACCAGTAAGAGAGCCAATAAGTGCAATGGTGACTTCAGGACTATTGACTTCTTGATTGAACATAATGAATTTATCACTATCTACAGGAGGATGGGCGATCTCCAAGATATTCACCTCCCCCAGGCCATGAGTGAGCGTCAGAAGATATCTTCGCTCGCACTCCAGTCATGTCTTTCTCTACATTCCCAATACTTTCCATTGTGCGCCCAATACTCCTCGCCAGTGATCGGACATTTAGCCCTGGTGAACCATTGAGGGCGATACTCCTCGCCTCTAGCCTCCCTCTCCCGTCGCTTTGCCCGTTGCTTTTCTTCAACACGATGTTTTTCATTGGCAGCCAAGTCATACTCGCCGTCTTCCATTGCACGCTGGTCAGGGCGGAGTCGCGTGTCAGTAGGCGGGAGATGTTCTCTCAAGCCTTCTGGAAGAGCATTCAGTGTGATGACAAAGGGTGTCAGATTGAAAGGAATTCCACTTGGCCGAGGATGGCTCTGCCAAACCAGACATGTCTTAGCCGATTCGGGATCCTGACCGGACACTTGCGCTTCGAACCCAGGGGTGTGGCGTGCGTAGATTTTATCATTCCAGCGCCCACCAATACTCCATCTCGGTGTTCCGTCGCGATCAACGACTTTGCCAGTCACCTGATACGCGGAAGACGCCTTCCAGCCTCTCGGTTTAAAATCCAGGTAGCAAACCTCGCCGGTAGTCCAGTTTTTGATTTCCATCAAACCGTAATTGTCAACAGTGGGATTGCCTGTGATAATGCCAATGACAGACGAGGTAACTTTCTTCCATGTGTAAAGCTCCTCTCCGCCTGATACGGGACGTAGTTTCAGAAACCAGGTTCCAAGGAGGTTGATATCGAATGATTTGCCGTAGAACTTCGACTTGAGAGCGGACTCTCCCTGTGGAAAGAAGTTTAGAAAGAAGGAAACGATGGCACAAGAGAGAGAGCTATTCAAATCTTACCCAATAATCCCACTTCGGTGACTCGGCCCACGCTGCGCCAATCGGTGGGTGATGGCTAACCTGCTCAATGAAGAACCGATATCCCTTGTCGGGCCGCGCATATTCGAAGGTCTCTCCGAGAAGAGGATTGAAAGGCTTTGCCACACGGCCAATTGTTGAAGCATATTCGCTCGCTGCGTAAGCAGCTACATACACCAAACGCTCCATCGAGTCGGATCGGTCAGCCGCGATATCCAAAAGGTCAGCATATTCTAAGTCCTCCGCCACTCGTTGAAGCAATGATGTCGGCTCATTGAAAGATACTGGTAAAGTCATCTTTGTCATGTCCTTGCCAATCATGGATTTCAGAATTCCCTAAAGCATCACCTTAGATTGTTTCAATCCTAACTTGAGCAGGGACTCGCAATCACTCACCCACAAAGAAATTTTGGGTCTATTGTCGTTGTCCAGCTTGAGTCTTGTCCGTACAGGCTCTTCGTAGCCCTTGAAAGAGGGGACTATCTCGTTCCGTTTTACAGCTCGAAGTTCAGTGCTTTCTAATTCTGGCATTTCCTTCTCTTCCTCCATCACTTTCGAGGTAGTCATGTCTTCCACTTCTATCTCGCCAGCGTCGATAGCATCAAAAAATTCATCATCGTCGTCCGATCCAGAATCGTACAGGCTGCTGATGCGAGAGAGGGCCGACCTCTTGCGACGTAGGGACTTCCCAGACTCGTTCTCCTCGTTTTCCGTTACGTATTCCACGGGCTGTGCAATTTGTTCTTCTGCTTCATCTCCGCCAACACGGCTGTCTTCCCCAGAGACTTGTATGCGGGACGGAGCCTTGCTGCCACGACGACTGGTACGTGCGGACACGCCTTCCAGAGCTTCTTTGAGAGCTCGCTTAGTACGTCTGCGCTTCTCTTCGGATTCCCCCATCTTCGATTGCAGCTCTTCGTGCTCCTGTGCAATGCGCGCCATGCTTTCCTCCCACATTTTGCGAAGATAAGCCTCTCGGTTAAGTCGGTATTGCCAATAAGAATCGCGATCCCGCGATATTTTGAGAAGGTTTTGGACCAGACCTTGCAGGCTGCTTACAGCTGCCTCATAAGCTACAAGGGCTTGGCCAACGGTGGGGTCCGAGATTGGGACGTTCGGATCCTTCGATTTCTCGGCTTGTAACGCAGCGGCGACATTGGCCAGAATCTCAAGTTGAAGTTTTGCAGATTGCGCCGTGATGTTCAGCGCATCTTTATCGGAAGAACTGATATCACGACTAGACGCGTATTCGCCATAGTCGTCCTCGTCGCCTTCGCCATCCGGATGGCTAGTTACATGACTGACCACCCGATTGACTTCGTTCTGCAAAACACTCTGGTCGTAAGAACCGTGTATTGAGGCTTCCTCATCTGCGGGTACGCTGTCAAGGGTTGTACGAGAGGCATATGTGGTGAGTCTGTGAGTGCTACCACTTGGCACGCTTAGAGAAGGAGGTGCTAGACCTCTCCCATTTGACTTGCTGACGGCCAGGTTCGGGGATTCGGATGCAGTCTCTGTTGGACTCCGGCCTTCGATCTGGTCCATCTTTGCCTGGCGAAGTGCCTCAGCATGTCTTGTCTGGCGTTTCTGTTCCTCCTTTGCTTCGTCTTTCGCCCATTGTATGGCGTTGTTCAAAGTCCAGAACCAGCGTTTAGCCTCCACGACATGGTTCGCTTTGAGATGATATTTGACAGACGACTTCCCATGTATTTCAAATCGCGTCTTGTCCTGCGCGTCCATGCTGAGCCTAGCGATCTTCATGTTTATCGCGCCGCGACAAGCGGAGCCCGCGTCGTCTGAATGAAATGTCAATTTCCCGTGTCTTCAGAGATGAGGGACACCAAAGATAGGTTTACCTTGATGTTTGTAGTAACTCAGGACGCCGTCTTCAAGCACGAACCATCGCAGCTTATATCCACTGGTATAATTCGTCCATTTCTTTAAATAGCCCCTCATTTCACGCGCATCTTTGCCCGCGAGCGGCGCCTCACCTGCCCCTGACCGTCCAGAGACACCTTGAGCGGGACTGCTGCCAAGGATGGCTTTCTCTTGAATGCCACGCTGTGCGATAACTGCTGCAGGAGATTTTTTGACAATGGCACGCGTCTTATCGTCTTTCGTAACATCTTGAGGTAGCCTACCTTTCTTATCGCGCCGAAAAGGATCAGCTCCGTGCATCAGCAGAACCTGGATGAGTCTCGTATCTTTCTTTCTAGCGCCCTCATGCAGCAAGGTGCCCCCAGACTGTGCGGTAGTGGGGTCGGTGACCAAGTCAAGGCTGTTCACATCTAGGATTCCCTCCACGCGCGGCTCCTCCAATACCCTCTCAAGATTATCGTAATCGCCTTGATACACAAGGGACTGAATTTCTTGTGTCTTGCTGTCAATGAATAGAGATCTTGCAAGCTGGAGCTGCTGAAATATTTCGGGGTTACGTGCAACATCAAGGGCAGTCTGGCCGCGGTAATTGACAATCGAATCATTCACTGTTGGACGATTTAGCAACTCGCGCACTAGAGGTCCTCTTCCTAGCTGGGCCGCAAGATGAAGAGGGGTATTCCCATCCCGATCGCGTGCGTTAATATCCAGGTCATCTCCCAGAGACAAGACGAATTCGACAACCTGCGGCTCGGCACATTGAATTGCTAAATGCAGAATGGTTGTGCCAGTCAAAGCGCCTGCCCCTTGAGGTTCCGTGGTCTCCTTAATCGCTTTCGATATCGCATTTGTGTCCCCGCTCCGCAGAATCTCGAATAGTCGAAAGGTGCGCACGGATTGTTCAAGTGTCATGCTTCCAATCGCTGAATGAGCTAGAGTTGGCATTTTCTCGACATTTTCCGCGCTGTGATTGGAGCCGGTTGGCTCAAGCGACGCCTCAGAGTCCATGGGAGGTGAGTTGGCCTCTTGGGGCGACTTTCGGCGGATGCTATTCTTATGTGACAGCAGCGAGAAAGAGGAGGTGCTGTTAACCGGAGAAGACGCGCCAGACTGAAGCGAACCACTTTCACGACCGGCCAGGTCGTCGTTGACGTCTTTTGATTTATCGCGATGTAAGATTGCAAGAGCCAGCGCACTCTTCGATCGTTTGTGTCTGGTATGGCGTGTTGAGTCAGTACAGTGGCCACATCGCGGGGATCATTGAATATAAGGAGAAGAGAGAAAGCAAATATGAAGGCAATCCAGACAGGTACGTTCCCTGAGCAGCTCTGAAGCCAGGCATCTCTAAAAGGACCCAGCTCATCAAAAACAAGGTGACACAATATCTCCAGGGAACGGGTCACGGAAAACCGAGGGTATCAGTCAAGAGGAACTTACCCTTCGCCCCTTTCCGTCATTTCTCTATCGGCACTAAACGAAGCTCCGAGATGGATAGAGAAACTCGAAGCAGCGGCATAGACGGTTGGGAATAATAAAGAATCAATCGGAACTCAATAGTTTTATGAGCTCACGCGTTTATGATTATATATATGTATATGTATGTGGTTGACGGGCAGTGGGGAAACGATAAGGAGTACTTTGTACTTTGGTTGAACTGGAAGGGAAATGTTCCCGTGCCTTGGCGGTTTAGATCGCAGAACAATAATTCACATAAATAGGAAGACATTCCACCTTACGACCGATTCCAGAACTAGAGGGAGAGTTGAGGTATCCTCCTGGGTTTGGGAAACGAGAAAAAACAAATTACGGAAGAGGCTTGGGCAAGAATGCAGAGAAGTTGTCGAATACCCGAGCTTGTATGATCATATTGTACAATGATTAGGTGCCGCTGCCAATGTCTATATACGAGTACATGCAAAGTATTTCAGCTTAAGGCAAATATGACAGCCGTCCACAGCTGCTGCACACTTCCTCATTCACGGGTCTCTCCGCTGACCACAACGATAACACTTCCAAGCTGTCGTCTGAGATCCTCCTTGTCAACATCATGAGTATCCTCCACTTCTCCCCACATATCAGTCTGCCATCTCACTTCAAGACTTGATGCTTCTGCTGCCTCTTCGATGCCGAACTTCTTTTGTCCTGACCTTTGCAAGTGACGGAAATTCTCACTCCACTCGACGACCAGTCGAACAGCAACCAACAGGCTCTTGCTAGCAACAATTCCTCTTTCTAAAGCAGCTAGATCGTGCGGTCGCAGCGACGAAACCCATTGTTTGATTATGTCCTTCGTAGCCCGGGGCTGAGACACCGGCAAAATGCTGTCCGCGTCAAGAATGGGTACAATGTCGACACCAGGCCACACTTTTGTGCCTAGAAAGGCGATAATATCCTTGGCTACTCTCATTTGAGCTTCTCGAAGGCTTTCAGGCCGCTCTCCATGTTCTTCAGACTCCTCGCCAGCATATGGATTTCTCTCGGGCACCCAGCACAGTAGAGTATCGGTATCCAGATAGCGCATGGCGAGTTTCACAATCTGGTCCCTCGTGGTCGTCTCGCCCCTTGCATCTTCTTGTGCAATATCTCCCCCTCGCGCAGTCAACGAGGTTAACGGAATAAGATGATTCTTCAAAGCCTGCCGTGCGGACGTCATAACGTCCCACTCGAGAGCAATAGCATGTGCAAGATGCGGTTTCGTCGAAGGAATGGATAAAATATCTTTCGTGGGCGTCCGAATCGGTCGCGTGTCCAATAAAACCTGGTACTCCCCATCTACACACGAAGAAACGGACAGAAAGATCAGCTTGATGTAAGGCGGAGCGGAAGTTAACAATCTGCAGAAAAGAAAGGGGAGGTACCTGGCTTTTTCCTGACATCGACATTTTTCCAAAATCGCTTCTCGAGAGTCGAGGATGGTTTTGACACTTGCGATTGTGGCTTGCCTGCATCATTTACGTCTTTTCCTTCTTCGCTCAGACGACCGAATTCTGGAGCTGGCGAAGGGGCTTTTGGGGGCGGTCCATGGGCAGTGATAGGATGGGCAACTGCAGCTTTCTGAGAGATGGCATGAAAAGCTCGACAGGATGTCGTAGCTCCACGCTGCCCTACGGCCGAAATAAGCCGGCAGGAGAGAACTGAAAAGGCGGCTCGAGGAAGAGTTGGCATGGCAGATTGAGGGATGCTTGCGCAAAAACCAAAGTGGAAAGATATGCACGACGATTAATACGTAGATATATTTGTTCTGAACGTCTTTGCCAGTAATCAGGTCTAGTTAAATTTTCAACTTCTGAAAGGTCAATGTCGAGGATGGATTACCTGCTTGGTCTCTGCTGTAAAAGTCCCAGTAGATGGTTTTTGACGTATCTTTGCTTTTTCCTTAAGCTTGTCAGATACCATTATGGTGGGTCAATCCAGATCGCCGTAGACTGCACTGCACGCCACATTCTCCGGTTCTCCGCAACTCAAGGGCCGAAGGCATAATCTTAGGTCGAGTCTCTAGATGTCACTGAACTACAGGTTATCATTAGAATCGTAATCACATCGGATCATTAAATATTATTGTGAACAAATGACCAACTTGACCAGTTGCTAGTTTTGAAGAGTCCGCGGCAAAACGACAAATCAACCATAGATCAGACATATAGGAAAGCCTCCCGGTTGCAATTTTGATGTACCCGATTCAGAAATAGCACAAGAATCATGCGACCAAGTCAGAAGTACAACGACCCAAGCAATGAACAAGCCTTCCCATGCTTTTTGCTCTAAATTACACGGAAAAAAAAAATTTAAATGCCAAAGCGAGTCAAACAAGAGTATGCGTTCAAGAAGGAACATTTCTGTGAAAATCGTTCTGTTGAGCCGACTGCGAAAAGGTGAGATTTGTACTCAGAAACAGAGGAATATCTTTTGAGGGAATAGGAAAAGAAGCTGCGCCCAGCATCGGTTCACTCAAGTGTTAGGTCAGAAGAGAGATAGGAAGGACGAGGGAAGTGTAAAGGCCTCCAGAGAGCAAATGAAACCAGCATCGCCATGCTGGCTGTGTAGCGAGTTTGGAACTTCTGCATGAATACAGAAGGGGAGCTGAAAACTGATCATGGAAATCCTGGCGTCATTAGGACATTCCATCGTAAGAATGATCTTGAGCATCATCAGAAGACGAAAGGACGAAGGACGAGAGGAGAAGAGGATGGCAAACAGAGAGCATTTCAAATATTATCAGTGCCGCTTTGGCTGGTGCAAATGCTCTGTCGATAAGAGCTGATTCGAAGGGAGCGTGTTGCTATCGCATAAGAGGCAGCAAAGTCCTATCGTAACGGGAGCTTTTCTGACCCATCCAATAAGCACTACTTCCTTATGCTATAATGGCGTCGAGGTGCAGTAAATGTGGAGTGCCCTATGGTTGGGACCTTGAGCCATGTTGAAGCAACAGAAGCGGATCATTCAGTTAGGAGAGACATCCTACCGACGAAGGAAAGGAGCACGGAGAGGATGCGCAAAACCCCAATCATTGAGTTATGAAGTTGGGGTAGTACGGCCGCTTCATACGGTCAATATCCGTGCGTCTCTTCATGCGTTCTGCATCATAATCATCGGCACCATCTCTGCTGCCCCACGTGGTCTGCGAGAGGAAGTACAGACTTCATGTTAGCGAGATTCGTCATAAAAACCAGTAGAGGAAATTGTTCAAAGCGCTGTGGGGTCGTTTTCTTGGAAAGGAAACAAAACTCAAATACAAAGGGGGGAGACAAAAGCCTAACAAATAACGCCTGTAACCTGAGCCAAGCGAGGGGGTTGGAAGAAAGATCGACAAGAGGTGTATTATTCCTTGTGGACAGGTACCATAAACAATGCAGTTATGTCGATGAATGATAAAAAAAGCAAAATAAAAAGGAAAAAAGGAAAATGAAAAATAGAAAAATAAAATAATAAGAAAGGGAAAGAAAAGAAATGGCGTAGCATCTGAAATTTCTGGACACAGCAGGCTCGAGTCCGCTCCATGCTTGGTGCAAGCCGACAAACTTTTGGAAAATGGGAAACTTACCACATTCAGAGTTAGCACCGCGTACATCTTGATTCCTCCGTGGAAATAACCGAAAAGGATAGAGACGGGCAGAAGCAAGATGTCCACCGGATACCGAATGTAATGTCCTAAGAGTTTGATGAATTTGCTAATAAACATCCATACTCCTAGGGCTTGCATAGCTAGAGCATGCGAGTTTCCTTCCCATGAAATGGTGGCTTTATGGCACAGGAAAAGGAGCAGCAAGTCACCCAAAAGCGCTGGCGGGGACAGCGTTGTCAGATGGACAGCGTACGCACTCCAAGGTTGGCGACTTGAGACACAGACCCTCAAATGTTAGCGTGCGGCTTCAAACGAGGCGCTTGGTGCTTTTTGTGTAGGTTATGTACTTTGCCAAATACGGAAGTGTCATCCATATCCACCCAGGAATCAAAACCGATGCGTTGACTTGCCAGTAGAACTCCGGTCCGTTTGAGATTCCTGAGCCAGTGCAGCAGGCCTTTCTCGTGCGGATCTTGATCTCTGACGGATAAACACGCGTTGAAACCTGATTGCAGGCAAAAGACGTAGCAGCAAAGGAGGGTGGAAATAGCAGAAGGGAAGGGACGATAGGAAGTGGGAAACGGAGGAGTAAGAAAATCAGGCAATACTTACTACCAAATATGCTTTTCGTGGAACATACTTGTGAGGTTGCTTCTCCAGTTGCTCCTTGACCATCGCGCACACTGCTTCAGAAATTTTGGATTGTCTTCCAAGGTTGTCAAAACTTCAGCTTCGGGATGGTACTGCATGAATGTCTCCCAGCCGTGTGATACCATCCAGCGCGTGATGAAATTGTCATCATCTGCATTTAATTGGTATTTACCAAACCACCACTCCTCATTCGTGAAGGCATATGTGAAGCCTTCGTCTTGAAGAATGTGAGTCTTGTATGCAACAGTCCGACCTGACATGCAGGGTAATCCACCATCCACATGCGTGGTGGCTGCGCAATCAAAGTTTCGGCGCTCCAAGTACAGAGCTCCCAAAAAGCCCCAGATACGTTGCGAGAAAGTGGGCGAAACAGCACGACGCAATCGCTGACAAGTGACAACTCCGCCGTATCTCTCGTCTTTCTCGAAAGGGGCGAGAATCCAAGGAAGCACTGTACGTGGCCAGCTGACATCGTCATCAGCAAATACAGTGATAGCCGTGCGAACCTCCGGAATAGCTCTTGTCATTTGGCGACGTTTGTTGGGGTGGGTCACGGTGAAAAGACGAATTCTCGATTTGGAAGCAGGCATTTGACTCAGCATATTTTCGGCCTGCTTCCTATTCGCTTCAATAGTAACCAGTAGAAGTTCATATGGATGATTGTCGAGGATCGTTCTGATCGTCTCGACTAGTTCGTCACCACATCCCTCCAATGTTGGAAGGATAACAGTCACATCTTGCGCTGTCAGCTTCGGGTTTTCCGGTGGAGGAATTGGTTTGAAGGTCCAAAATGAGACAAGATTCACAACCAGACGAAAGTAACGGTAAATGCTGTAAGAAGAGAAGCGGTCAATAAATCTAGATTCTCACTTGGACAGATTTTCCAAGGCTGAGGGGCACGATTGACATGTTTACTTACAAAAGAGCAATAAATGCTCGCATGAACGGGAAAGCCATGATTGACGACCGGCCACCGAGGTTTTCTTGCTATCAATTGAGCTTGCCCCAAATATTCCCTTACTATGTCTATCTTTCAAACGGCCCTTCTCCTCTCTCGATATGTGGCTGCGAGCGGTGGAGAAAGCTCACAGAAATGTCGAGTCAGGTAATATAGCTAGTAACGACCTTTTTGCCACCACTTCAGCAAGACAATTGTCATCGACAAAGGACGAGGTCGAACTGAGGCGAAATGACCAGGAAGGAAAAGAGTGTGACTCGCTTTCCTACCTATGCAGGAGTGAGATAAAGGATCAACAGTGAGAGACTGAAGGATAGAAAGCAAGAGGCGAGTTAGAACGAATGTCTACATGAGAAAGATGCTCTGCCAGAGACTGGAAGGAGAAATCTTCTGGCTTAATTGGTTTCTGGGAACAGTAATATAAGTGACAGACATGCAACATTGGCAATTATCATTTATGCAGAAGTCCGTGACAGGGAAAACACATGTTTGTTCAAAGTCCAGTATCTTAATAGCTTATAAAGTCAGTTACTACGACTACATTCTTTAGAACAGAATCCACAACAGAAATAGGAAATAACGATTAATGTCAGCGAATGGGAGGCATGTATTACTTGTGGGCTCTAGGTCCTTTGTCTTTTTGAGTGTCATGCAGATTGTATTTTTGCCTCGTGCGTCAGAGACCCTGGATCTAGATGGACTGATGGACTGATGGAGCATAATGAGGGTGGAGAAAGGATTGGCAGCGGTCCATGCAGCTAGTAGTGTATGCAATGACAAGGAGCAGGTCTTTTTAGGAGTGGATCGCGGGTATCGGAGTCAAAAGGAGAAATGATAATAATCAAATGGAAGAAAAATACTAATAAGACCAGACTGGCCAGTTACGATAGTTACATTAATGTAATATATCCAAGTAGTTAGGTAGATACTACCTTAGGTATCTGCTAATTAGCCTGGTAGTGCCTGTATTGGATAGATAGTGGTGTTCGAAACTACCTTTTGGAGGCTAGGAGAAGCGAGCTTAGGGACGCGGGCTGTGATATTTTAGCAAAGAAATTGGTGCACTGGCTAGGACATTTCCGAGATAAGTACAGAGTACCTTACTGTCAGCTGTCAGCACGGGCTTGAGCGATCCTACTCGGGGTCTGTTATTCCTATCTTAGCTAACTTTAAGTCTTTCGCCTGTTTCTGTGGTAGCTGCGAATACATAGTAAAAAGTGCGCAGGAAGTTGATGATATCAATCTGCAACCGGCTCGCATATTATCTTGCATACTGATTTTCAATTAAATAGCCTACAAAGTGATGAGCAAGTGATGCCGATTGACCGACCGGCGAATTCACTCACTAGTGCTAGGTACTATGTAGAAAGCAGAGTGGAGGGGGCCTTAATAGCTATTGGTTGTCGGGTGGTCCATGACTTGCTCTTAGGACTCTTAAGGTTTTATAATCATAACATATTTTATTACTCTCCATTTTATGATTCTGACTCTCATCATCCTCATTACTCATGCTGAGGTCTATTATATCTTAGAAGAACTGTGTTCACTGATCATTTTATTATCTAATTAGAAACCCAACCATATCTAACTTGGTTGATAAATCATGAATGATGGTTATATACAAGACACTTACTACTGCAGTTACTGGGTACATCTAAAGTAAGGAGTCATAGTATTCTGTATATGAAACAGTTTGCTACTGTAAAAATTCATATGATTATCCAGAGAACTATGTGTTAATTCAAATGCACATCTGCTAGTCCAAGAATGGTGCTACTTACTGCACATAAATCAATCAGGTATAGTTTTTAGGTATCCTGTTTGGTTGTACCATAAGCACCAGAGCAAAAGTGACAGGGGAAGAAGATATGAAGTGAAAGAGATTAAGGAGCTCGGGAGATTTTTTTTTGTTATTTTTTTTTTTTTTTATCTTAATTTACAGAAAAGAAAGGGAAAAAGAGAAAGGAAAGAAAGGAAAGAAAGTAGCATTATGTCTGCGCCCCATGATTAGGATATGTTGTCTTCTCAAAATACCTTGTCTGCAATCCAAACACATCATCATTTATTCTTCTATTATCAGCTGTTCCACATGGCCTAAATGGCTAAGTTTGGCTCAGAGAGCATTCTTTGGCGAGTTATGGCACACAGACATCGGCTATGGTGTGTGGAACTATGGACTGGTTTTGACTAAGATTTGACAGACCTGATTCTATTTATCCTGTATGGTGTACATATTCAAAGTTTATCCTTCCAAAGCTCAATGTGATAGGGTCATAAAGGTGAAATGACATCAAGATAGGAGAGGCGCAAGGGTGGAATGTTTGCGATTCGGTGAACTCAAAGAATTGAATTCAGACAACCTGCATGCCAGGAGTAGGGCTAGATTTGGAAGCATGAATATTCCTTGCACTAGATAAGCCTAGGCATTCCTGCACATGTTGGACCAGTATCTGGGGAAAAGAGCCTCGTGAAGTAAAGGTGTATACTCTGTATATCAAGAGTTCAACATTTATCGGGGGGTGCTAAGCATAAGGATCCAATGTGGCACAGGCTGGGGGAGGTTCTGATGGATTTCACCACTACTACAAACTCTAGATTTCAAGCTGTAGTGCTTTGTTGATGGTGCGTGATATTGTGAAAAAAAGTAAAATTAAGATAAGGCGAATATATGTACCTGAATAGATAGCAACTACTTATAGCTCTCCAGAGACACCTATTGTGTTAAGAGTGTCTCAGCTGATTGAGGAATATCAGCACGGAATTCAAATTCAATGTTGGATGCCTCTGTTAGCCAGAAGTCATATATCATCACCATGAAGTTTGTGCAGAATGGAGCCAAGGCTTCCCAGAATGAAAATGTTCAGGAGAGAGGAGTAACGGTGATCCTAGCGGCGATCTCTAGACCTGTTGTCTTCAGCCACCACCTGCCGCTGAATTGCTTGCCCGTGTGCGCTCTTGCTTTTCTAGCCGTTCAATTACTATAAAGCATGTGGGCCATGAAACCTGGATGGCAACCATAGTACTCCGTACGTAGGTCAGGTAGCTCCGGTGGAGCAGACTAAGGTACCTCATAGACTGGAAGTCATACGGAGGCGACTACTTTCGACGAGACTAGTGTTCCCCAGAGGCTGAATCCTTGACAGTCAAGAAGAGGATGGTTGATGAGATATTTCAGATCCCAAAGGCTCTCCCCAATGAATGAAGTTGGAGTTCGAAGTTTGTTTGCAAGACAGGCCCTCCAAGGATGAGCCTCTTACTCGTATCATTTGCTGGCCTACTTATGCTTCAAATACCACGTGACAAATGCATCACAGCTCCTTCAATATCTACAGAGTACAGGGTTATTTTGTATCCGGGTCTACAAGTATGCTTTCTTAGCATTAGCTTGGCCCCTTTCTTAGAATGCGCTGACGGACATTTGTAACGCTATTGTGTATTTACCCTCGAAGATTATGCAAAGAAAATCTTGATTTGAAAAATAGCACGAAGATTTGCCATGTTTGGTGTGTATGGGGAAGACTTAAGGTAATCCACTCAGACCATTCAGCACTAAATAATTTTCTTAAGCATTCATGGTCATCTGTACTCTGTATATTTTGAATAATCTTTAGAGTAAGAAAATTCAATGAAAAGCATAAATTGAGTAGAGTAAAAGAACCACTGGTCTCTGACATAGTGGTCTCGGAAGTAAGAGGATAGTATGGCCCAACTTCAGGAGGGCACATAAATACCTGCCAGGTCGAAAGGAAAATTCACAGGCAATTGATTCTCCCATTGATCTCCGGGGTTGAAAATGCAAGTAGGTTCTGCGTAAGCTGGCCATCTACTCCGTACCAAGCGGAGATATCTTAGCCTCGGGCGGTTCGACCAATTGCCAGCAAATCAAATGGTTTGCAAATCTTTGAAAGGCTGATACACCATTACTAGCGACTACGAACATGAGGCCCGAGCTCGCCTAGGCGATCAAATTGCATTACGGAGTAGCCAAAAACTTATCCACAAAGTTGATGATTATTCCTGGCGACTCGCAAGTTCTTGCTAAGTTACTAATGCCATAAGCAGACCATCAGCCTTAGAGCAGTGTGGCTGCAGATGGTAATATAACTTTCTGCAAGTGGCTCTAATAGGATACTTGCTAAGGTAACGACCAAATCTTTCTCTCTGGTATTTTGTGAGACCAGAGTCATGCCAGATAATACAGATTGATGGCACAAGCATCTGCAATTCTACTCTCAAGTAGTAGGAGGATCGACAATCTGAGCAAGATAAGTTCCACGTTTATGTGGGCAAGGTTGTGGCTGTAAACTTGAATCTGGTGAAGCTGATGATAATATGAGCGTTCACAATAATACAATAATCACGCTAGCAAATGGGCAGATGGTGTTGTTGTCTTTGAACACCTTAACATCCCTCATGGAACGTGCATGATTTCAGACCTATGGGAGGCTGATCCTTCGAGTATCCCATAACGAGACAACTCGAATCTTTCTTCTGTTGCTACACACTTGCCATGACTTTTAAAGAGGCGACTCCGAGGCCGACGAAATGGCAATTAATCTTCAACGGTAATTATTGATACTACTACCAGTCATGCAGCTGAGTTACCTCCTTAACTTAAGAGGGTCGAAGTTGCATAGCGGCACAGATCATTACTACTTCAGCTTGCCTGCATGCCATTATCTCCAGCACGCTAGCCTGGGGCAATTTCGTTCCTCTAAGCACGATTAGTGAAACAAATACATATTTCATTTTCGGCTGCACGGACTCAGACTGGAGCTGCCTTGGCCTCCCCACAGAGCCCACCCTCACCCGGGAATGGCCGAGGATCGATATGCAACTAGCCCAAGCTGTACTACGGGTAGGCTCCGGCCGCCTAGCCCGTACTTACTGTACGCTGTGGAAACAAGATACTTATTAAAACCGACAGCATTACATATACCTGCTTTGTTCTCTGTGCTCTGTAGTGCCTATCTCCCACTCCATGCTATGGATTACTTTTACATTGAGACACCTAACTGATAACCAGTCATTCTTGTAATATGTACTCCGATACCATTCACTAGAGGGGAAATGCTATCCTCTTGCCTCTTCCCATTACAGACGATCGTCCATAATTATTAAAAGGGGTGTCATTCATGGTAACTCTGTATCAGCATAGACCCTATCTATTACCACTGTATTTTGTAATCTCCACCTGCTATGATGGATCCTTCAGGCAGCCGAGACGACGTTTTTCCGCTGATGGAATGGCCCCTTAGCTTCGTCTAGCTAGAAACGGAACGGGAAATGATGCACAAAGAGACATGACATGCAGCTTGTAATGTCGATCAAAACAGAAGCCGCTTTCGTTGCTGATAATCGCACACCTGAAACATTACAGTCTCTAATGATGATTGACCGAAAGACAATAAGGTAATGACCAGAGTCTCTTGATTTATCGGGGTAGTGATGGTGACAATGGCCAGGTAGGTAGGTATCTACTTGTAGGCTAAACACTGTGGGATAACATATTTTGTCAACAAATCCCAGCGACCAATAGATGGCTTCGACGTTGATCGTAGTATATATCTGACAGTACTAGACTAGATTTGCATGTAGATAGTTGTATGAATCCGTGGCCCTGACATTATTGCACTTTTTTGGGGGATAGCCTAAACGTATACATGCTATAGATAAGCGCGGATATGATCTAGGCACTCCGGCTGCAGCGGATCCTAAATTGTGAGCACCATCAAGGTAAAAGATGGTTCTCGTTCTTCGATTGAAGAGGGAATACGACTCATGATGTGTAGCATCCATCACAAACACCCATAGAAGCTCGATTGCGGAGCGAGGTGGAAGGCTTTTATCCCTCTTTCCTCTTCCTCAGAAGCCTTATTATCTCAGTAGTCGGGCCACCTTCACCAGACGATACCGTTATCATTCTATCTCCGGTAAGGGCTATCTTAAAACACCAGGGTCTATTGCGTTGGGGGTACGTACGGGCTACGTAAAATTTCGCAGTATTAAGTAATATTATTCAGCAAATATTGCCACACTATCGCCCGGGTGGTCCAGGGGTAAGATTCATCGTTCGGGTTCCAAACCTTGTCTCGATGAGACCCGCGTTCGAATCGCGGCTCGGGCCCCACTCTCTTTTTTCTTCTCTTTTTCTCTTTTTCCTTCTCTTTTTCTCTTTTTCCTTCTCTTTTTCTCTTTTCCCCTCCTCATTTCCGAGCGATATCTGTCGTCCCCATGTAGTATACACTTCTCATCAACTTTCTTTTGCCTAAACAAAGTTCTCCTGCATAGTTGAATATGATCGTGATAGGGCTTTGATAAGTCTCGTATGGAAGTAAATTCGAACGATTAGGGTGTCCTGCTAAGGTTGACTAATGGCCCTTAACTTTAAGCCATTGAATAAAATTACGTTGTATTGTGGCTGCGGTCACGACCAGCAAATTACGTGGCTGAAGTATGAAAATTAATAGAGAGCAGTTCGAAGTCAATTCACCTACAGAGTACTCAGTACTACCTGCTTGCCCTGCCTGGATCCTGAACAGTATCTTCCAGTCAGCTTAGCCTTTTGGTTCGCCAACCGTCGGTATACCATCGCACGACCGCTCGTGCTTTGTGGTCTTAGCAAATAATGGCCTGTCTTTGGCTGGCAACTCCTATCGGCGAGACTGCAGACTAGTGCAGGTCGCATACGGGATCTGGTACAACGAGCTTCGCAGGCCAGGATGGGTAGCTCTCTCAAATCAATGTCAAGAACCAAATGATGATCATGTGAACAATGTCCTGATGTCTTTCCAAGAATATTACTGACCCTCCTGTTCTTTTTTAGGCCATTGATTAAATGTATGAGCGGCGATAGGGTGGACCATATTGTATCTACAGAGTACACAGGAGATTTGTTCACTTCACCTCACTTCATTTAGCTGGCTAATTTGTCCATTTTCAACGTTCTGTTATCTCCATCGCAAAAGATCCGAGGTCCTAAATTACGCACACGACGAGAACGTTTACTAGTTTCTCATGGCCCTGCTACTCCATAGGCTAGATACATTAGTCCATCTACTCCGTACTGACTAGTGCAGTCTGCTTTCAAGCTAGCTTAACTAGCTAGCCTGACTCCACTGTCAACTTAGCTTGCTGACTTGATTATCACCGGGCTAAAACCAAGACGCAGTGGATATTATTTTACAAACTAATAACGGTTCTCTCAGCATTCAATGGAAAGATTGGCCAGGAGTCCCATTGGCAATTTCCTCCCGCGTTCTTTGTCCTAGCGTGAAGTACGTGATTCCCTTTTGGAAACTGAACTTCCGAGAGGCGCGGAAAATATCCGAGCTCAGGTCTGTAGCTACAGGCTAGAGTCTCACAACCATTTCAGGGTACCTAGTCATTACTATCCTGTATTGGAGACTGGAGACTGTCTACGAGTTGTTTGAAGCATAAAAATAGTACGATGGCTACATCAGGTCAGACTTACAGGAAAAAAGATGCACCCAACAATGCAATGATGATCTTTGTTGTTGTACTCTTATAGACTTGCTCCTTCAGGATACTGGGTACAAATGCTATCCAATGGTCGGCAAGCATTATCCAGCACGTCACGTCGCTGACAAAACATTGCTTTTGTACTGGGGCTCTCTTCAGTTTTCTTCCCTTCCTTCACTTGAAGAGGGCCTATTCAGCTTGAGAGCCATGAACGAAAATATAGGAAGATTAAATGCGTGAGGCTTTGATCGAACTTTAGCAGTACGTCCATTCAACGCTCATTGCGTCAAAACAGCAAATAATCACCAATCATACCTGGGAGCAAGACATCGGATGATGTTTAGGCCGTGCTTTTTCCACAAATTGGCATCGAGACTCGAATGAGACGCATGTCAGGCATGGAAGGTTCTGTGAAGTTCCGGGCCCGGACTGGATCTATATCATGTGTTCGCTAAATCAATCGGAGAAGTCCCGCCGTGAGCAGCTCATCCACAAAGAAAGACCATGACATCAGCATCTCTGCCGGCAGGGAAGGTATCAGCAGGTTTGCCTATAGGCGCACCGGTGTTGCTCAGGCCCTGCCAACATCGGTCTATCAGGCAGTAGCGGAAATGCAGCTCATGCTTCCCCCCGAAGCACTAATGCGTCTATGCAAAAGCGTGAATCCTGGCTCATGTTGCATGAAGTCTTCTAGAAGTTCTTGTCCTCGGCAATTACACCGCATCCAGCCCCTACGGCTCCGACTCTGAAACTCTACTGTCCTACATCATCGTATCGGTTTGACATTAGGTTGCTCAGTGCTTTCAGGAGAAGTCGAGGAGCCTTTGCTGAAAAGACTCCATGCTTCTGTCCGCGCTCCTTGGGCAACCAATGCAGAAAGCGTACAATAAGTAGCCAAGGCTGCCTTGTCTGGCAAGCTTCTTGAGCTTTGCAGTCTCATGGCCTACATTGACTAGAAGAGTAACCTAATGTGTATCAAACCGTTGAAGCATATCTCTCAGGGCAATACATGGATCATCAGCTATCATTCTCAGTTACCAGGGTGAGCGAACATATCATGACCCATCACTAGGCTTCCATAACCAGCCAGCGGGATGAAAACAGACTTCGAAGTCGACTCCACCAAAGAGTCCTATGGCACCATATAAGTCATAGTCTCCTTCCAATCCCTCAACGCCTCCAGCCTCCTGGTCGACTTCTTCATGGAGGTTCCAGCCTCCTTCTCTTTGCCCATTTCTAGTAAAGAAGACATCGACTTGCAGTCTCTTACACGCGGTTCCTGAAGCTCCATTCAGATGTTCTGGAAGGCGAAAGACCATCCCCAGACCAACAGTATCGTTCACATTAAAGGCGTCTGTGAATTGCTTCCCTCCCCACGAATCATTCACGAAGCGACAACCGTCATCGGAGAAAACAGCAAGGCTACCCCTCTCCCAGCCGGGAGACCGCCAAGAGGGATAAGGCTGCGCGACAAATCCAATAGATAACCCGCTCGAATCAGCGGTCGCAGTCCCGGGCCCGGCACGGAGACCAAGCAATTTGACCTCGAAATATATAGTTTTGCTCTTTTCGGTGACATAAGGGGAATCGTTAATTGGAAAATAAACAGGCAGGTTTGTGGTAATTATGCAGTCACCGTTCCCGTTCTTCGTAGAACCCTTCCATCGACCTGTGTGTGTGATAGTAAGGCTACCATGAAACTCACTCGGCTGCACAGGGGCGAGGTCATATCTCTGTACACAGTCATAGGCAGCAGCCGAAGGCTTCGCCGGCGGATGCAAAGGCACCCTGTCGCAGAATTCATGAGCGCGCTCTGCGTCATCACGGGATGCGTTGCCAGCATTTGAACAGAAATAGCCTGTCACCGGCGGCGGAGGCAATGTTGCTGTGTCGGGCACCAGTTCCTGCCAGTTGTGATATGGAGGAGGAGCAGGCTCGGCTCGTCCGCTATCATTTTGCTCAGGATGCCATGCTGCTTGGGAAGCATGATAGCTTGGAGGTGGTACCTGGAAGTTGGTGCGATCGCTCATAGTAAACAGATCACCGGGGGGGTGTCTTTCGCAAAATACTTTCCTTTCCGGTAAGATCTTTTTGTGCGGGCGCAAAATAATTGTTCTTCTCTAGTAAATAAGAGAAGGGTCAGACGCTGATGATAGACAGTGACTCGACTAGGTTGGTGAGGCTTCTGTAGCCGCTTGGCTTTGCTGGGAGCTGCCAAGCGTGGCTATGCTTGGTCAATCCAGACAATCAGACTCCGTATACAATGCTTTCAACGAGAAGTAGACGACTTCGTTGAGAGATGCAAGAGCTGAATCTGGATACTATGAGCACTCTGCCACTTCTTGGTTGCTCACATTATGTCATCGACGGAAGTTTCTACTTGGCTTTTTATCAGATCAACCTTAGGTATCGCAGTTAGAGTGAGCCACCTATCCATGGAACAGCAGTGGTAAGGCCCGAGTGGAAACATATCAGTCGATGAACTGATTCTCCTCCATTCTCCACTTCACTACCTTGGTTGGGAATGAGCATCAAATTTAGCTCGCTTGTGAGATAGCTAATAGTGGTATTTATATGAAGCCGTAGCTTTAAGTCATTGCCGCAAGCAGGCAACATCAACAGAGATACCATTTTTCACTTTCCTCGCTTATCACCGTCGCCCCTTAAATGTCGTTACTATCGCCTTCGAAAGGGTCAGCTCTATGCATAAACAAATGATGAACTCTCCTGAGGTACGGAGGTGGGAGTACAGAAAGGCTTGAGTACCTGGCTCTAAGGCTGTGGGAGGTAGCTGAGGCCTTCCCCCCTCTCTCCAATCAAATCAATGCATCACATGCGGCTGCAACATGGGCAAAATTGAGGCTGGTCCAGTCAGGACGGGTAGCAGTTCAGAAAGAAAACATGAGGTCTAATAACTCCCAACCCGGAGGTGTTGACTGGCCTTTTCGCCATCTCGAGATATTTGAAACCAGAAGAGTCGTTTTAGACTGGTGCACATCGTCTGACAGTTCAGGCTCTCACTAATGTTACTCGTCCAATGACGAGGTCAAGAAGTTCTCGTTGATTTTCGAGTGCTTCAAGAGTGCTTTTTCCTTACTGTGTTCTGAAAAATCTCATTGCAAATCTGCCAGTCTAAGCCTGAACGGATTATTTGGGGAGACTTCGGTTCCATCAGATTCTGATTCAACGGCCTCGCCATACGTGACAGGGCCCCGCATTGTCTGTCCCATTGTCGGTTAGAGGGGCAGCATCAGTGAGAATGGACCAAAACCCCCAGAATAAGAGAAGACGCCGGTCTTCAATAACTCAGCAACTTCACCGAATCTTCAACGTTGACAGGCAAGAAATTGTGAGTCCACCTTTTTGACTATTTCTTCTTAATCCTGCATGGTCCTGTGGTGTGGTCTTTAGCATGTATGCGTTGGTTGCCCTAGATGTGTCAAGGCATTTAGGAGCCTCATTACTGACATCTTGACGCAAAAGCAGCGAGAATCCTGGCCTGTTCCTTCAAATGCAAGTGCAAGAGCTGCGCCTGGTCAGCATCAGCAGTATAGGAAAGAAGGGACCGACACAAAATTATACCACCATGGCCAGTACGACAATCAGTCTTCTCACCACCCTACGAGGGGGAGCCCTGATCTGGGCGATTTGGATTTCGCCCAAGCATATGGTGCGGCGTCAGGAGAACCGCAACTGCGGTCTAGACGCCAGAAACCTTCAACGGGATGGGAGCACGCAGTAGAGAATGTCCAAGGCTTTTCTGGCACGCCCGAAAATGCTGTTCACTCTATTGAAAAATCTACTGCTCGAAATGGGACCAACACCGTCTCACAAAAGAAGGACAAACGCGTCACGCGACGCCTGGAAGCAGAGAGGATAGAGCTTGAGAAACGACTCTTGAAGCTCGAACAGACACAATTGGCAGGGAACCATAATTCACTGAAAAGGGAGTCTCGTCGCCTGACAAAGAAGCAGCCCCTCGGTAGCTCTAGCAGGGGCTCTAGTGTGAGTGCTGATGAATCTCGGCGTTCTTCGAGGCGTCTTTCTGGCTTGTTCTCAATTTCCAGGCGTACATCAACGTCACGATCAAGCTCTGTAAATGGCAGGAATGGCGAAGAATCAACAGACAGCGCACCTGTTCCAACGAAAACACCGGCGGACGATGCTTCAACTTCACGGGTCGCTAAACCCTCTTTATCCACAAGTTTGCCGGAGCGATTTAGTGCAGTAATATCAAAAGGGTTAATTGTTGGGAGCAATGCTCTGCTTCAAGACCAAACGTCGCCGGCGCATTCGCCATCACCACCAGCGACCACAGCTGCAACGAACCAATCGGAGACACTAGAGGCGAACGAAGAACGCTCCTTACAGAAGCCTGAGCCAATCTTAGACGATGCAAAGCAGCAGATCGGCAATCATGGCAAATCGTCAAAGTCACGTAGTTTACAGACGTCGCCTGATTTAGACCCGATATCGTTCGCAGCGACTCTGCACCTCGCAAGAAGGGCTCGAGATAACGATCAGCTCCAGGGCCGGTCTCCAGACAAGGTTCAGCACCCATCGCTTGTCCAGAGGGATGTAACACAGAATGAAAAACTCGACGACTCGCAAGGTCTTGGGTCATCGAAGACGGGCGCAGTTTCCCAACCGAACCCAAGTACAATTGGCAACACAAGCAGCTTACCAACTAAGGTATCAGTTAAGTCTATTCCCAGGAGAACTTTCAAACCATCCCCCCTTGCAGGTGACTCGACAACGAGTGGCAGTTCTCAGTTACTCGCTGGAAATGCCAGCATTTCGCGCTTGCACAATTCGGGAGGATCCAGCGGCGCGAGACGGACTCCATCCTCCCCATTGGTGACGGTTGCAACGCGCATGTCTCCCGCTGTGGGATCTTTGCAAGTCTCCCAACTTTCAATCAATAGCCAACCGGAGACAGAGAGGGAAGGTAAGGCACAAGATGCTGCCTCTGAGCGTACGCGCAAATCGAACAATTGTGCAAACACGCGTGTCTCGAAAGAACAAGAAGCCCTTGATTACGTTTCTTCACAACATGCACGGACTCGTCATTTGACTCAAACCTCAGCACCGGTTTCAAACCCCCCACAGCTGTCTGTGAAGTCACGAATTCAGGCTTCAGCAAATGACAAGAATATTAATCGCCTGAGCTTGAAACATAATCGCCAAGAAGCTCCAGCTATTCTTGGTGCCTTAACGGCGAGGGTCAACCAGGATATTCCTCCACTGCCAGAGCACAAATCGGGTAGAAGACTTAATGCCCAGGAATTTGCAACACCAGGCAGCGCATCTTCACGAAGCTCTTCTCCAGAGCCTTGTTCGGAAGACTATAATACTGCCGATGAAGCTGGATCGATAAGATCTGTACCCAGAGGCCATGATGGCTGCTTGAATGGTAAGTCTGCTGCAGCATCTGGACCATATTTTGTGCAGAATACGATTGAATCGAACAATTCCACCCGTGTGAGCAAATTCTCAGATGTCGCGGTATCCAAGGTGGGCGACCATCAAGGTGACAGGTCAGCCACAGAGACAGGAGCCTACCAAAGAAATCAGTCGATCACGAAGAATTTTGTGATCTGTTGTTCATGTAAATACTGGCATAATATGCCGCCCGAGAGTTACTCGAAGCTCGCTAGTCCAGATACTTGTCCAGTCCCTACCAGAAATGGCCCGACTCTTCTTGGTCGCAGTTCATCTTTCGCACGAAAGACGAGCCGAAGATTAACTCGCAGTACCCAGATTAAGTCTGCATTATTGAACGAGCGATCTGTCAACGAGAGGGCCACAATGGGATCGGCAACAAGGTCCCAATTTGCTGACACTCCCTTACTGTGCTGTTGGTGCGACCATCCCATGAGCAGGCATTGTTGTGAGGGATGGACTACCACGGTCTACAAGCATGCGAGGCAGTTTTGAGTCATTTATTGTTTCTAACTGACTTCTCCATCATTCTTCCCTGCCACCTTATTTCCCAGTAACCCATCCGAACTAGATGTTGTTTACTAGGTTGGCATCGCCTGTAATGATTGACAACCAGTTGAAACTAGACAATGATCGATTGACTATCCTGCAGCGTGAAATATGATTCCCGGTCTGTCTGGTAACTTCTTCTCGCCTCTCCATTCTCAAGTATGCACAGAAGGATGAGAACGATCATGGATCAATAACAAAGTGAGAATCGGAGAATGATATCTCGTCCTGTTTGACACTTCCATGTGACGTAGTCTCCATATCGCAAAGCTCCATTGCCAATACGACGCATCCCACATGTTATGACCTCGGCCCTGGGCCTGTCATTGCTGTTCTGGGGAGGCTGTCGAATGTCAACGCAAAACAACTGCAATATGATAGGTGACTATCAGAGGTCATTCAGAGCCTCTCTCAAGCCTGAGAATAGAGCGAGCGTTCATGTACTTCTTTGATGATCCATTTCTTCGTGAATCCCGTTTGAGATCCGGTTCATACCACTGAAGCCTATTGGCAGCGGTTACAGTATAGACAACGGGAAAGGGAGCAATATTCGCAGAGAATTGATCTCATCCTTAAAGCGTAAAAGCTTCTGCCATACAATGAGAACGATGATTTACGACTGCGTACATGAGGCGAGTTGCATTAAAGGTTCAGGCGAGTGCGTAAACCGGACACGGGTCAGTCGAACTTGGCGGCCTTCTAAGGTACCTATGATCTAACATGTTGTCCCGTGCCCCCGAAATTTGGAGTTAAAAGCATCGACTTTAAATGCCCCTTTACCGAGATCCAAAAGCCTTCCCCCCTCAAAAGGAAATAAAGACCACGTCAAAGAGCACTGCGCTCTTTTTGTTTTTGGCGCTCTTCAACGCGCTCTTGATCTCCTCATACTTGAATCCATGGCGCGCCAAAGAGGTCTGTCGAATGCTTCTTCGTCACCTTCTCTTCCGGATGGAAATCAGGTACCCAGGGAACTTTAAACTCTTTAGTGCTTGAGGACGTATCAACTAACGCTGTTGAAGGAGCTGGAGAGCATGTATGATTATCTGGCCAAAGTGATCCTGCTTGGGCCAAGCGGTGCCGGAAAGTATGTGTCTTGCTCTTGATACCCTCTCAAGTGTCTTTTGCTACTGTTGCTCACATGCTACGGCTCACCGCAGGTCATGTGTATTACATCGATTCGTGAAGGACGAATGTACGGCTCCTAACCCTGGCTGAGCCTGATCCTATCTCTTGCTCCCCCTGAGCTGGATAGCCGGCTCGCTAATACACCATGCAACTGTAGGGAGAGTGTTGTCATCACAAACGATCGGGGTCGAATTCTCCTCGAAAATAGTCAGGCTCGGATCCGGTCCCCGAAAAACAAGGATTAAACTGCAGCTTTGGGACACCGCAGGCACAGAGAGATTTCGTTCCGTCTCAAGATCGTACTATCGCGGAGCTGCAGGCGCTATTCTGATCTACGATATATCTTCGCAAGCTTCATTCGCAGCGCTTCCTACCTTTTTAATGGATGCACGTGCTCTTGCATCTCCTAACCTCACTGTTCTCCTGGCTGGGAATAAGGCGGACCTTGCGTCTGACTCCGTGACCCATGGCGATTTCGCAGATGACAGCATGAGAGCACCCCCTACTCCTTCCAGCACTAGCAGCAAGCAGTCACCATTCCCACTCGACTCGGTCCCTGGTTCCGTTCGATCTACAAACCTTTTGGGTCCTGGAACAAGGCTCACGGCGACATATGCCTTTGAAGGTCGTCAAGTGAGTGCCGAAGAGTCAGCGCACTGGGCTGCCAAGGCGAATATACCTGTTGCTGTCGAGGTGTCGGCTCTTACCGGAGAGGGCGTGGAAGAATTGTTCAACCGGTTGGCGCGAATTATCCTTACCAAGATTGAGCTAGGGGAGATCGATCCCGACGATCCTCAAAGTGGCATTCAATATGGAGATGGCGGACTGTATGGCCAGGGCACTAGCGATGGGTCGAGTATTCGAAGTCGAATGACAGTCGATGATAATTCCGTGCAACTGCATCGCAGGAATCCAAAAAGGCGGGGTGGCAGTAGGGGAGTGAATAACTGGAGAAGCAACATGGGAGAATGGGAAGAGGTCTTTCGACTCAGCGGCTCGCACCAAAAGAAGGGTACCGGATGTTGTTGACCCTTTCAAGCGGTTAAACCTCTGGCACGTGTGGATTGTTGGGCGTGCCCTTCCCTCGCTCGCATCAAGTCACTCATTGCTCTTATCTCAGCCCTTCTCCTCTGGAAGGTCTGCGCACCGGAATTCCTTTACCCCGTATACAACATAACGGAGGTGTGCATTTGCCTTATCTATTCTGTCTGGTTGCTTATTCCGCACGCACACGCCCTAGATACCTTACATCGCCCTCTTTGTGTCGGAGTTAGGTTCCATTTCTGCTCGATATTTTCATGAACAATGGGACCCGGTAATATTTCCTTCTACCCTTCTTTTATTTTTGCTTTTTCTTTGCCTTTTCCTTCTACGCTGTGTGATTCCCTAATGCCTCTCATCGCTCCTCCGATAGGGCTTCCCTTGCCATTGTGACTAATCAGCGAATACCTCATTATGCGTGAAACCACCTACAAGCTCTGTCACTTGCGAGCGGCTGAAAAATTCTGCCAATCCTGCGTCGCGCGACCAGTGAAATCCGTGGTTGACTTGAGTTGGGCTCAGATATACAGCTATTATTATTTCATTCCAGATATTAGACACCAGCGCGGCTACCATGTCTTCTTCGTCTTCTGGTCCCAAAATAGGTAGGGGCCGAGACGGCGCAGGTCCACTGATTCGAATTACACTTTTTCGAAAGTCATATAATTATCGGGGTGGCCGTCAATCTTGGATCCCAGCAATGAGTGTTTTGATGCCTTTCCCGGCCTTGACTTCCTTGAATGCCTGTTCAGCGTCATGGAACTCGACCACACCGGTGATAAGATCCTTCACATTGACTTTACCGGACGCGACCAGGCCGACCGCGAGCTTATAGTCACCACTCCCATACCGAAAGCTACCTCTGATATTCAACTCTTTCGTGCAGGCCGCCATGATTGGAAACATTATTTCGCTCCGGCCCATGCCACCTTGCACGTATGTGCCACCGGGGCGCAGGACATGAATTCCGGTGTGGACGGACGGTTCAGCCCCTGAGGCGTCGATAACCACATCTGCACCAACTCCTAGGTTGTTCTCTTTTCTCAGTCGGTCCGCGTTGTCCACCGCGCTTACTTTGGCGGGCTCGAAAGTTGATGTTGCCGCATATTTCTTGGCAAAGTCCAGTCTCGCCTTTTGTATGTCCACAGCGATGATTTTAGCGGCGCCGAAAGCTTTTGCGACGGCACAGCACAAAAGCCCGACGGGCCCGGCCCCGAAAACGATCACGGACTGGCCGGGGGTGACGCTTGCTTGTCTCACGATGTGAACAGCGACGCCTAGAGGCTCCATGAGAGCCCCCTCTTGTAAGGAGATACTGTCGGGAAGTTTGTAGCAGAAGTCCTCGGGCAGTACATAGAACTTGGCTAAGGTGCCATCGTATGGTGGAGTCGCTGCGAAGGCCATTCTCTCACAGAGGTTGTATTTCCCAGCCTTGCAAGGTTCGCATCTACGGCATGGAATACCTGGCTCCATGGCAACACGGTCTCCCACTTTCAAGCCTGTGACAGCTGAGCCGACCTTGCTGATGACTCCGGAGGACTCATGCCCTAAGACCATAGGGTCCTTCACAACAAACTGGCCGATTGAACCATGCTCCCAATAGTGGACCTGAATGCAACCGATGCGAAACAGTCAGCCTGATCAATGATCCCGCGGGACAGGTGGATATAGAGTGTTAGGCTGAATGCGCAGATACGTACATCACTGCCACAGATACCAGTGAATTTGACGTTCACCAGCACATCGTGAGGGTCTTTTAGTTCCGGAATAGGTCGATCTTCGAATTTGACCTGGTGAATACCTTCGAGGACAAAGGACAGATTCTATTTCGATAAGATGTTAACCTTCTTCTTCTTTCCCCTTCTCCGCGCTCCTATTGGCTTTCATGGTTGGTGATGACACCAGAGACGCGGACACACCTGGGCAGTGGCTGTTGATGTACTCATTTTGTATCGCTTTTAACTGTGCTCAAGGTTCGCCGTGTATTCTTCTTCTTATTATTCCTTTATTGATATAGGAAATCTCGGCCGGTTGTTTTGTGAGAACGTCGGCGGTCTGAAGAAGGTACACGGATGTAAACTGAAAGGGAAAGACGGAGGAAGAGAAAGACGGAGGAAGGGAAGGAGGGTTGCTTGCTACTGTTATACTCGACAGGATAAAAGAGAGGAGGGGAGTGTGGAGAAAGAAAGCTTACCCAAATTATCCAGACCCAGAACTTATGAACTGGAGCAGCGAGCTTTTCAGAGGGTCATCTATCTAGATAGTGGATAATATAGCGACTTGAATTGAATATCTCCGCTCCCCGCCAAGTTGTCTGGTCACACTGGTGGGGGCGTCTTGACCTCAGTCGGGTCGGGCGAGACCCTTTTACTTTGTAGGTATTGTAAATTACCCGTGTGGTACCTCCTATTTAGCCGGCGAAGCTGGGAGAAAGAGGTTGAAACAGGAAAGAAGACGGAAGGGGGCAATAATGGTCTCTTAGATTCAGCTTCGGATGAGGCTCATCTCTCATGCCACCTAATATTCATATGGCTACTCTTGGGATGTGGTTGGTGTCAAACTGATGTCATAGCCCACCTAAGAAGCAGTTGCCAGGAGTCCATCATATTCCCATCTCCGCATATAAGGTATCCTTAAACATTGCTACCCAAGTGAGAGTTCGTTCCTGCTTAACCATCTCTTTCCCCATCTCCTCTCCATACATAGTTGTCCCCATATCTACTGTTCCCGTGACCATCATTGCGAGACGGGTAATAAGTTAGCGTTGTGGAGATGAAGTCTACGGAGTAACTGAAGAATGTGTCTGATTTACACCCACAGTTCTTTGAGATTTAGGAATGGCTTGACTATGCAGTGGGATAATTGACGATCAACTTTTTAGCAGTTATACCATAGCTATAAAAATGATAACTCACACACGCAAGAAGTAAAAAATATGATTAAAAAAGAAAGAAAGAAAGAGGACATACCTACAGGTAAAAATCACAACTCTCATACCTACCCCTCTATGGAGTATTCCCCAGGACTGGCCAATGAGGAAGGCTTATTAAGCTAGATGTGCATGTGCATATTTCCGTTGGAGCGCTGCTGAGGAGAAATTATCCGTCATGAACGGAGCATCGCTGGCCTGACGGGAAAAACAAACGCCTTTCTATCTGAGTTACCTGAAGGTTGGGTCGAGATATTTGTCATTTTGGTTTATATTCAATTCCCCATCACTATGGTCGGATCTAATGTCCTCCTCCAGCCGTGGAGGAGGGCGGTTGCCCATGCTGTTCGGCCGAGAACGACGACACCTACGTACCAGTACCGATACTTCACGGCAACTGCGCGAATCTCTGCCAATGATAAGTCGCAGTCCTTCAAGAATCAGCTGTATGAGAGTACGCAGCAGCGGTTGAAGCGGGAGCGCGCTGAGCAGGAACGGTTTTCTCAGTATCAGACTCAGTCACCAGGTGGCCGCTATGCGGCTTTGACGTTCGGTATGCGATCCTTTCAGGGATACGTGCCATTGGTACTTTAGCTCATCTTCTTTCTTCAATATGGCTCTAATTTTCATCTTAATAGCATTGGTTTTCTTCTCTACTGGTGCATATTACCTAGGATCATTGAAGCCCGCTAGTCTTCCAACGTCGTCAACCACCACCCTCTTCGAAATCGAGCCGCCGCTCCACAATATCTCACCAGCAAATTTACAGGCCGCTTGGGCAGACTTCGTTGAGATTCTAGGAAAGGAAAATGTATCCACGGAACATGGTGATCTCGATGTACATTCCGGCTCTGATTGGTCTTCGTACACACTCAAAAAAGATGAAAGGCCTTTCCTTGTCCTGTATCCAGCAACCACCGAGGAGGTTTCCCGAATTATGAAAGTCTGCCACCAACGGGTCATTCCTGTGACGCCCTACTCCGGTGGTACCAGTCTGGAGGGGCATTTTGCTCCCACGAGAGGAGGGGTGTGTATCGATTTCCGCCGCATGGATCGTATCCTGGAGCTTCACAAAAAGGACCTTGACGTTGTGGTCCAGCCTGCAGTTGGGTGGGAAGACCTTAATGAGGAATTGTCCAAAGAAGGTCTCTTTTTTCCACCTGACCCGGGTCCCGGCGCTATGATTGGCGGTATGGTCGGCACTGGCTGTTCCGGGACCAATGCTTACAGATACGGCACAATGCGAGAATGGGTTCTTTCTTTGACTGTTGTCCTTGCAGATGGGACTATTATCAAAACAAGACAACGTCCGCGGAAATCGAGCGCCGGCTATGATCTCACCAGGCTGTTCATTGGAAGCGAAGGAACTCTTGGGCTTGTGACGGAGGCTACATTGAAGCTGACTGTCAAGCCCAAGAGTCAAAGCGTTGCTGTTGCTAGTTTCCCATCCATTCACAACGCCGCAGAGTGCGTGACCCGCGTGGTGGAAGAAGGTATCCCAGTTGCGGGGGTTGAGATCCTTGATGACGTCCAAATGAAATGTATCAACGATAGTCGAACGACTCGTCGACAGTGGAAGGAGTCACCTACTCTCTTCTTCAAATTCACTGGGACCCCCGTGGGGGTCAAAGAACAAGTTGAGCTTGTTCGGAAAATTGTCTCTAGTAGTGCAGGGCAATCTTTCGAATTCGCTCGAGGGGAAGATGAAATGAAAGAACTTTGGAGTGCTCGGAAAGAGGCGCTCTGGAGTGTGATGTCCATGAGGCGAGGTCCCGAGGACCGCGTTTGGACAACCGATGTGGCAGTGCCGATGAGCAAGCTGCCCGACATAATCGAGGCAACGAAGCAGGATATGACAGAAAGCGGATTGTTGGCCGGAATTTGCGGCCATGTCGGGGATGGCAATTTTCACGGTACTACCCCTGCTGTTTTCCCATTATTAAGTAAAAGCATAAAGCTAATCTCTCCCCAATTTTCTTAGCAATTTTCCTGTTCAATGAGGATGAAAAGAAAATTGCGGAAGGTGTTGTGCACCGAATGGTCAAGCGAGCAGTTGAAATGGAAGGCACAGTCACTGGCGAACACGGGGTTGGCCTCATCAAGCGGGACTATCTTCAGCATGAGGTTGGGGAAACCACGGTGGATACTATGCGGCGTGTAAGTTATGAGGACTCTAGCTGTAGGATTGGTTTTGATCCCGACGTTGACTCTCTGCAGATAAAATTGGCGCTGGATCCCCTTCGCTTACTTAATTGCGACAAAGTTGTTCGAGTAGAACAACCAACGCCAGGGGAATTAAAGAAGTGGTGAACAGTGGCATTTACAACAGCAGTACTAAGGTAGTTCACGTAGCTTGAACTAGCCAAAGGAAGGAAGAGCGCAAAGTAAAGATGGTGTGCAATCACGACGTTTTCGATACTAGCGATTAGATTGACCGATCGCGTCGCTAATATCCGTAACCCCTTGACTCTGCTTCGTCGCGTCTTCCGTACCCATGCCGTGGCTCGGCGTACTCACTGCTGTCATTGTCCTTGTCTCCACGGTACTCTACTCGTGTGTGGTATTCTTCTACTTCTTCGTATGCTCCTTGCCGGCCCTCGTACCGCGGCTGATATTCCCTGCGGAGACGTGGTCAGTGATACATCCGAGTAGAAAGGTCAACGTCGGACAAAGTCCCCTGACGTATGGATCACTAACCTGTCTGGCCTGCTGTGTTCATAGAGTCCAGTCTGTGCAGTGTCATATGTAGAACGGCCGCTGTCATAATCGGACCTGGAATTCGTATAGTCTCTCCTATCATCGTCTGCATGTTCATAAGCCGCCTGCGGTCTTTGTTGGGACCACCGACTTTCACCACCGTCATAGTCTGGTCGATCGCGACTGTACTCTACACCTCTCCGATTCTCAACGGAAGGATATCTCTCAGAGGCCTCATAACATTCGAAGTCTGAACGGCGATCAGGGTTCGCGTGCGCATCCTCGTAATTTTGTCTACCACCTCGAGAACCGTGCCTTTGGTAATCTTGGGACCATTCCCGTCGCTCATGATCATCCCCTCCTCCCCCACGGGTGTAGCTCGAGGTGCTTTCGTATGTCGGGCCATCATCGTCTCTTGAGCAACTTTCATTCCATCCCTGTCGAACCTCCCTTCCGTACTTGCTTTCCCCGGAATATCGATCCTCGCCGTCAGCCTCTGTTTCGAATCGGCTCTGGCCTCCATACTGTCGGTGAGACTGTCCAAGGCGCCCATCCCCCTGAAAATCAGTCTCGCGTCTTTCATTATCCGACCGACGGGAGCTGGAATCGCTTAGTAGAATTGATCCAACCCCACTCACAAGGCCTCCAACTAAGCCTCCGAGGGCTCCACCACCCGCAGCCTCTGCCGCAATCTTACCAAGACCGCTAGTGCTCGGCTTATAACTCTCCTCGGGGCTGGTTTTACCCCTATGGAGTGTTAGAGGCTTACCGCATCCATGTCCCGAATCATGCACGCCTTCTTTGTGATTCTTGCCCTCACGAACACCCTCACGAGAGAGCTGCTCCCGAAGACTCTCCTGTTCCGCCTCATCTTTTCTGCCCCACCACTCCTCGACAGTGTTGAACATGATTTGGCGTATATCAGATGCTCCGTCCTCGCCATATTGACGTAAAGCCGGATGATGGAAGATGCCGGTGATGATTCGGTCTAGTGTCCTGTCCACATCAATGTTTTCATCGTCCCAGCACTCCATCAGCTGAGGTACTGTCCATTTGACTACTCGGGAGGCAATCTGGCCGGCCGGTTCGTTCAGGACGTTCGAGAAATGATCTTTGGAGAGCATCGAGTGGGTGGGGTTTGAGGAATCATCATCATTGAATACAACGTGCTGCTGTGCCCGGCTACTTTCAATGACTTCGGAGGAGCCGGTTTGAAGTTCGACCTTGACCTGCCGGATGATGGGAAGTATATAGGGCGCAAGAATGGAGAAGACAAAGATGTTGATCTGCTCCTGAAACTGTTCAATCAGCTCCGGCAAG